TGTGTAATCAGGTATATGAGAGACGGTAATGACTGCACGTGTGTGTGTGCGTGTGTGCGTGTGTGTGTGTGTGAGAGACAGAGAGAGGGAAGGGGGGGACAGCGCAATACCGTCTGTCTCTGTGTGACTGGAAATGTGAGAGACGGTAATGACTCTGTGTGTGTGTGTGTGTGTGTGTGTGTGTGTGTGTGTGTGCGTAATTAGCGTGCGCCTTCTCCCCACTGGGTAGACCTGTCATTAGCGGCATCGACTCTGTCGGCCTGCCAGGGCTAAACAGTGACAGCCGCTGCCAGCAGGGACCGCAGGCGGCACCCCTCCCCCGCCAGCCGCCTTCCTGTAAGAGACCCGGGGCCTCCCCGTGATCGGAAACATCTGGGGTGCTGAGCAAACTGTGGGGGAGAGGAGGGGGCAGACAGACACATGGGGCGAGTGAGCCACATGGGGACAGGGAGACAGAGGCACCGGGGAGGGGGACAGCCCAGAGGGGGCTGCTCCTGGCCCAGGCCTTTTTGGGAGAGAGGGAGAGCAGAGGTCAAAGCCTGGTAAGCACGGTAAGGAGGGATTGGGAGCCAGGCCTCCCCCCCGTCCTAGGGGCCACCTGGTCCAGCCACCCCACCTCCAGCCCTCAGTGACACCACATGGGAGGACTGCTGGAAGGATGACCTTCAGAGGCGGTTTCCCTGGGGACAAAATGACCTCCTTCCTTATCTTTTAACTATTTTGTCTGTGCCCACATTTGCCTCCCCATCAGAAAGTAAAGCTCCCACAGGGCAGGCAGCAGTCTCTTTTCTCCCTGTACCACCAGCACCTGGCGCACTCTATGGTGCCTGGCACACAGTAGGTGTTTGATCGGCACTTGTGGATAGAACAATTAACAAAGGAGGCCAAGGTCAGACTCCCACAAGCCTGTCCAGCCACCATCCCTCCGCTGAGGCCTGGCTGGGCCAGTCCTGGGGCGGAGTCCGCTCCCGGGGTTCACCGGTGGGTCAGACGTCTCTTCAGCGCCGGCTCCCTGTCGGCCACAGAAGGCGGAGGGCCTGGGGCCGGCCCAATCACTTTCCACTGAAGGAGCCCAGGCCCTGGAGCTCCTCCTCAGCCTCTGGCCTGGAGCAGGGGTGGTGGAAGGGCTCCTTAGCCCAAGGGCACCCTGCCCCGCCCCAGCCACCCCAGGCCCCCCAGGCCCAGGACACCCTCACCTGGATGATGGCGGGCAAGGCCAGCTCCGGGAAGCCGATGGCGCAGGCCTGGCTGTGCAGATACTCCAGACTCAGGTCATACAGCTGCTCCACAAGTCCATCCTGGCAGTGGGTGAGATGGGCTTAGAGGCCCTGGGCACGTTTCTCCATCCCCTATCCCAGCACAGTGGGTGCCTCCAGGAGGCTGGGGAGCTGAGGCAGCCCCACAGGGAGGGGAGGAGAAGGAAGAGGGAAGGAGGGGAAGGTGGGAGAGGGAGGGGAGGAGGGGCCTGAGACTGCTCCCGCTATGAGGTCTGGGGCCCTGTCTCACCCCCAGTGAGCTTGGGTGCAGGGGTGTTCTGAGCCCCCAGCCCCTGGCACTTAGCCCTTCAAAGTGTTGGGCACTGAGAGGAATCTGACAGTCGCACCCACATGCCCTCCACCCTCACAGTCCCTGACTCTTCTCCACTCCCCATTATGCTGCCCAAAGGTGGGGGCTCATTTCCTCCCCCAAAGACTTCAGCCCTGGCACCAACTGCCCATCAGGTCCTGGCCACGACCACCCAATCTCCAAGCCGGAAAGGGCCTTGGCAGCCACCTGGTCATGCCTGGCCTGGGACAAGAAACCCTGCTGAAAGCCTCTCTGGTGACGGTCATGTCCCCCAGCCTCCGCTCGGAGACCACCACTGAGGCAGAACCCAGCCCCTTCCAGGCTGGCATGGAGAGGCCACCTAGAACCAGCTCATGCCCTCACTGGACCCCTGGCTCCCAAAGTAGAATGAGTCAGGCCCCACGCCCACAGGAGTGCCCTCCAAACCTATCAGGACACTTGACATCCAGGTTAAACATCCTCCCAAATCTTCAAGTGACGCTTGCCTAGGACCATCCCACCTCTTGGACCGGCTCTAGTCGGCTATCTTTCAGAAGTGAACGAGTGTAGCGCTCTGACCTGGACACCAGGCCTCTCCTTCAATGACTGACGGTCACGTTAGCTCTGTCCGCTGCCATATCACCCTGCACCTACGCACTCACCCAGAAACCACAGAGCTTTTCCACCAAGGCTGCCTCTCCTTCCCTATCCTACGCTTACGCTGTTGATTTTTTGAGCCCAAGGGGAGGACTTTGCATTTCTCTTCCTCCCATCTCCTCTCTGTGCTCCAGTGGGGGCTGGGTCTTACCCGGTAGGCCTTCTCCTGCAGGTTGACATTTGACAGTTTTAGAATTACAGCAAAGTTGATGGGCTTGGCACTCATACGTCCAGGCTTCTTGTTGAAGTCAACTTGGTGGAAAATCTGCAAAGTGAGAGAGGTTCAATACTCAGTGACCCAACTCAACCCTGAGACCGACCTAGGAGCTGCATGGGATGGAGAACCCTGCCGTGGACCTGACCTCCACAATTCCCCTCTGCTTGGGAGGGATCAAGGACAGGAGGGACAGCCAAGTGCCCACGATCCTATGGTGCCCCTGTCTCCCCCTCCAGCCCTCAGCAGCCCCTATGACCCAGAGCTCAGAAGGCTTCCGCAGATAGGACCTCCTGCACACCTCTCAGTCCCAGGTTTCTACCCATGCACCCACAAAACAAATGCCTCCCAGTCCACTGGGCCCAGGAAAGGGGGCAGCACCTCCTTTCAGTGAGTTTCCCACAGGGGTCGGCGGAACCCTGACGACTCCCCTGACCGGCTGCCCTGGAAACCCTACCATCCCCATCCCCGGGTGCGCCAACAGCTGAGAACGCTATGATCTTCCCAAGCCCCAGGCCTGCGCTCTGCAGCTGGTCTTGGCCTGGAACAGCTGGTGAGGGGTACATGGTACCCGCTGCCCTAATCTTATACTTCACTTGACAGATGGAGAAACTGAGGCTGGCAGGTCAAGACCGGGCTGCCGCGCTTTGGCAGCCAGGTGGCAGCAGAACCACCAAGCTCCTATTCCCATTTCTGGGTTGTCACCCATCTCCCTCCCTCGTCCCACTCCAACCCCTGAATTCTCCTCTAGCTCCAGACGGTGACCGAGAGCTGGCAGAGTAATACAAGAGCAGCAACGGCTTCTCTCGAGGGCTGGGATGAACCAGAAGGGCTTGCAATAGCCCCAGCAATCCACCAGTAAAGAAAGAGGTTCCTCCAGCCCTCCTCTCCAGCACCACTGTGTCAACACTGGGAGCAAAATGGATAGAGTGCTGAGCCTGGAGTCAGGAGGACCTGAATTCAAATCCTGCCTAGCTATGTGATCCTGGGCAAGTCACTTACTATCTGGCTGGCTCAGTTTCCTCATCTGCAAAACAGGGCTAATGATAATAGCATTCTCAGGGTTGTTGTGACTGCAGACACTAAATGCTGCCTATCATCGCCACATGATGACGGCCACAATGGTCACCAGCGCCAAAGCTCCCCCCGGCACCCAGAAGCTTCCTAGAGAAGGGGGCTGGGGCGGCCTCTGGCCTCTCCCCACCCTGCTCAGTGGAGGATCAGCTGGAAGCTAGGGCGATTTTCTCGGCAGCTTGTGGAAATAAAAAATTAAACGTCCCTACCTGGATAATCAATGCTACAAACCTCGTTATACACGATTATGTCTTTCGTCCAAATGGCATCGATCACCCAGGTCTGACTCAACAGACAGGCCCCTGCGTCCTCAGGCACCGACAGGCTCCCAGGGTGACCCAGGAGGGGATGGGAGGGGATGGGAGAGAGCGGGGGGGGGGGGGGGGGGGGGGGGGGAGGGGGGGGGGGGGGGGGGGGGGGGGGGGGGGGGGGGGGGAGGGAAGGGAGGGGGAAGGAGGAAGGGGACAGAGGGAGGAAGCTGGGGAGGGGGAGGAAGGAGGGAGCTGAGGAGGGGGAAGGAGGCAGAGGGAGGGAGCTGGGGAGCGGGCCTGAGGAAAGGGAGGTTGGGTGGGTTCCAGGGTCGAGCCTAAGGCCCCACTCAACACAATGTGGAGCTTCTACCTGTGTCCTCCCCACCCCAGAGCCCTGAAGGCTCTCCTGGCCCAGCTAGGTTTACAAAGTGCTTAACACACACTGTTTCATCTGATTGTCACAACTATCCTGGAAGGGAGCTGGCAGAATCATCTCCATTTCACCGCTAAGGCTGAGGGAGGGGGATGAGCTGCCAGAGGCCAGGGAGGGACCACGCGGGGCAGACTGCAGATCTCATGCCACCAAGTCGGGGTGCTATCTGCTGGGCCACACTGCCTGTGCAGGCACGCCTCCTCACCCTGAGCTTCTGGGTGTTTGGGCTAATGAATTGGGGAGAGGGTGAGGACAGTGTCTGGCTGCCTCTTGGCCAGCTCACCCGCCCTGTGCACTGCCCCTGGCCCTGTCCCCCCTCCAGGCCTCTCGTGGATGGGTTGAGGCCCCATCAGAAGAGCCAGGATGCCACACTGGAGGGGGTGAGATGGGAAGAGGGGCCGGCAGCTGGCCAGGGATGGACAGAGGAGGGGGCCCCAAGCAGGGAAAGACCCCCAGCTGAGCTCCCCCCTGCGGCCACCCCCTCCCTGGCTGCAGGAGGGGGGCTGGGCCGGACTAAAGGAAAAGCAGCAGGGCTGGTTAATAATAAATCGATTCCAAGAGCCACAGCTCTGCCCTTTATCACACTGATGCCGAGGCTGAGCCTGCGGGCTTTGGGGGGAGAAAGGAGAGGGGGGCCAACCTCCACACCCAGGTGCCCGGGCGGGGGCGACGACGGATGTGGCAGGAAGCTCCCTGGGCCCTGCGGTGCTTGCTGGGAGGCGCCTGAGGTCTCCAGGCTAGAAACGGGGGCTGAGGGGCCCGGTGTGCACGTGCGCGTGTCAGAGGAGAGACAGGTAGGGCGAGGCAGAAAGAGAACAACGGGGACCCTGGGAACCCAGTGCCCGGTGGGTCGGGCGGTGCCAGAGGAGCCAAGGGCCCCGAGGTCGGAGATTTACCAATGGCAGCGGCTGCGGTGGCCGCGCTGCTGGCTCCCACCGACGGGGAGGATGTGGTTTCCGACGGACGTTTACAACATGAAACCGCGAGGGCTCAAGCCTCGGCAGAACCGATGGGGAGCAAGTCTGGGGTTGGGTTGGCCTGCTCTCCCCCTCCCTCCTTCCTTCCCGTGGGGGCCGACCGCGGCCCTGGCAGCGTGCCCGGCCTGTGCACAATGGGCCTTCCGGAGGCGGGCTCTGGGGCCGCCGAGGGGCCGAGGGGCCTGGAGCCCGGAGAGGCTGGGGCAGAGCATGAGAGACCTGCTGCCAGACCCTGGACCCAAGGGGATGGCAGCTCATGCCCACCCGAAGCGTGGGAAGCCGCTGGAAAAGCGCTGCACAAACGGGAGCTGCCATCACCGTCAGATGCTGGGGGCCAGGCCCGTGGGACCATCACTCACAGGCCCTCATGGGTGAGGAGCTGTGGGGAAAGCCTCAACCAACGCCGGCCAAATGGAAATAAAGGGGGCTTTTTGGGGTCACCAAGAACTCAACCCCATTGGCATCTCCCTGGGCCCACGACACCTGACCTAAAGGAGCAAAGAACAGGCCCAGAACTGACCACTTGGCAAAAGCAGCGGAGCCCTGGACAGACCTCTGAGCATGCGTCTAGGTCTGCCCGCCTGCTGCCCATGTCTCTAGTGCCCACCGGGCAGAGCTGAATGCATGCTCACTGCCCACCTGGTAACCATGTCTCCACCTGTGAGTGCCCACTGGGCAGACCTGAACGCATGTCCACTGCCTGCCAGTCACCCACCTCTCCGCCTGTGACTGCCCGCCAGGCAGACCTGGACACATGCTCACTGCCCGCCGGGCACCCACGTCTTCACCTGTGAGTGCCCGCCGGGCAGACCTGGATGCACACTCACTGCCCGCCAGGCGCCCACGCCTCTCTGCCTGCACTTGAGGTCTGGGTGTCACAGTGCCCATGGCAGTGTCTGCTAGGGCCCAGGATGACTCACCTCCAGGATGAAGGGCAGGACGGGGATGAAGGTGCCAGTACTCTCCGAGAGTAGGGTCAGGGCCCGCACACAGTGCATCCGCAGGGGGTAAAAACGGGCCGTGGGGACCAGCCTGATCAAGGGGAAAACAACAGTGAGGGTGGGGGCAGGCCCGCAGAAGCCTGGCAGACAACCAGCCTCAGAGCCTGACAGAGCCAAGAGGTGGACACCTGCCACCTTCTCCTGCCTACCCACCCCTCCATTTCTGCCTTTCTTGGGGGAGTCTCGATCAGCTGCTTAAGGGGTCCCCAGAGGCCACCCAGTTCATGTTACAGAGGATGAAGCCAGGCCCAGCAGGGGCAGAGCTTGGGTCACAACGGGGACCCTCCACTACGCAAGCTGGGCATTTGAGCCTCCCACTGTCGGGGGAAGAGTCTGCAAATGAAGGCCCCACTCCACCCCGTGGCTGCTTCACGGAAAGAAGACTGTCCCTCCCCCCAAGAATGGCCTTTCCACCCTCTGACCAGCAACCCCCACCCCGGGGGAAGGGGGGCCTTGAAACTCCTTCTGAGGCTTCCCCTCTGCAGCTGGCCCCCTCCCGTCACTACCCTACATTTTCAATGTACTTTCTAGGCCAGAGAGGAAGGGGGGAGGTGAGGAGGGGGCTGGGAGGGGGGCTCCCCCTGTGCCTGCAGCAGGCGCCAGCCGCACTCGTTATCTGGCAGAAGCACATTTCCAATTCTGCCCTGGTCCCTGCCTGAAGCGATGCCGGCTGCACGGTGACTTCTCCCTTCTCCCCCCTCCTCCCTCCTCCCACATCCTGGCCCCATCCTCCCGCGCCCCCCCCTCACTTGTGCTGGGGAACAATGCCACCTCCTGGCCAAGGAGGGAGATGCTCCTGGTGCACGGGGAGCCCAGCAGGGGGCTGCTGGGCCCCAGCATGAGCGCGCCCACCTGCACACACACACAGACACACACGACCACAGGCACACATATGCACAGGTATATGCACACATGCATGCATAGCACACACATGTGCACAGACACACATATACACAGCCACACACATATACACATACACACACACATAAGCACACATATATAACTGGCACATGCACACACATGCCAGGGCCCTCTGCTCCAGCATTTGCCCTTCTCTCTCAGAATCTCTTGCTGCATTCAAGGGTCACCTCCTAGAAGGGCCTTAGTCCTTGGCTTTGGAGAAAGGACCTGGGTTCAAATCCAACCACTCAAACCCTCCAGCAGGTCTCATCACATCTGCGGGCAAGGGCCCAAAGTATGTTCTTTCATCTCTGATCCTACGATCATCTGGCCTGTGTGTCCTCAGCCAAGGTAGCCCACCTTTGTGCCTCAGTTTCCTCCCCTGTAACATGAGAGGGGTGGGCCGGACGGTCTCATTTTCCTATCTGCTCGAGGGCAGGGCCAGCCTTGGCTCTTGGCACGTACGCCTTCCCCGAGGTGGGCTGTGCCAGTGAGCTTTGAAGGAGACGGCTCTAGAGCTTCTGCCCGTGTACTTTGCAGATGGGGAATGATGTACTTTACAGGGAGCCTGGGCACAGACTGTCCTCACAGGGGGAGGAGGCAAAGCTGGGCCCAGATGGCTTCATTAACATGCAAATAAAAGCAGATCGGAACCCAAGCCTGACAGCTTCAGCAGGAGCCGCCGCCCGTGCTGAGTCGGTGCAAGGCGCAGAGCCAGCACTCCCACACCTGCGTGTGCATGCACACACAATCACATGCATACACACGTCTCGCATTTACATGTGCACACGCATCTGCACACACCCACACATCTGTGCACATGTGAGTTGCACCTTGACATACATGTAGGTTTACACCTATACAGCTGCACACTTGTCTACACACGTACACACATATCTGCACATACCCACACATGTACACATTTGTGTACACGTGTGCACTTGCACCTTTACACACGTTTACACCTATCCAGTTGCACACACATGTACACACACGTCTGTGCACAAACCCACAAGCACATTTATGTATTCACGCAAAGACATGTAGTCACACACGCACACGCACACACACACACATACACACACACACACGCACGCACACCAGGGCTAGGGGTCCTGACCATTTTCTGGCCGCTAAACCGGCTCCTCCGGGAGCACAAGCCGAGGGAGGCCTCTGGCACGGAGACCTTGGGGAAGCCCCTACCCTGGCCCAGGCCTCAGTTTCCCCCTCTCACTGGCTGGGGACTGGCCTGGAGCAGCCCCGCCCCCCCACCCCCCTACGCCTCCCCCACAGCCGTACTTGATGCAGCCGATGATGACCTGGGTCAGCGGGTAGATGAGCGGCTCCAGGACCTCGCTGGGGTGGATGGTGCTCAGCACACGGCACCACAGGTGGAGGCAGTGGACGTACTGCCAGTTGTAAACGGACTGGTAGGTCTCCTGGGACCAAGGAGAGAAGGGAGGGGTGGGGGGTGGTTAGAGCTGCCTTGTGTCCTTCAATCCAATCCAACAAGCACTTATTAAGCACCCGCTACGCGCCCGGCACTTGGACACAGACAAACGTGCCTCCTCCTGGCCCCCCTGGAGCCTTCCTTCCGCTGGAGGGGAACAATCTCCCTATGAGCACCAAGTAAGCACACAGTCATTGGGGGCGGGGTGAGGGACCGGGGAGGGCCCTGGGGTCACAGCCTGGGCAAAGGGACAGCAGTGGGAGATGAAAAGCCTCTCACAGACCCCACCAGAGCTTCTCTGTGTGACCGGGAGCTCCCTGACAGCAGCCCCCTCTGAGGCCCCGGAGCCGTACCTTCTTATTCATGGTCATGGCGTTGCGCAGGTGGATGGCAAGCTGGCGGACATAGAGGAAGGCGTGCTGATAGGCAAGGCCGGTGTCCAGCGCACACATTTCCGTCAGCGTGCGCTGCATGAAGTTGATCATGGGGAGGGCGTTGGGGGACGTGAATTTGGAGTTCTTCACATAGGAGATGTACATTTGCTGACAGGGAAGGAGGGCAGAGGGTCACAGGGCCAGGCAGTGACCCCGAAGTGCGTGACAAGTGGAACTTGAATTCAAGCCCAGCGCCCTAGGAGGCTTCTGCTGTATGTGACAGCAGCCCCTTCTCCCGCCAAACAGAGGGTTTTGTTGACTACGATGAAGTCTAACGGTGTGGCCTCGGGTCCTACCCATTCCCCGCCCGTCACCTTGGGCTTCCTTCCCTCAGTTTACCCACAGGAAATACAGGGCTACATCTGTGGCACCGGAGCTCCCTGGAGAGCCTGGGGCACCCGATGTCAGAGGGAACGTCTAGATGTCCTCCCTCCCCGGCCTGGGCCGCAGGACGTGCCCCCAGCGAGCGACCAGCCCTGGCAGCTACGGCCTAGGAGGGAGCCAGGGCAGCGGCTGCCAGGCTTTGGGCACCCTGCTGTCCTGAGCCTCAGTTTCCTTCCCCCCGGTCCCTTCCAGCTTTCCCCGTGATACTCCAGTGGCAGGCTTGGGGGCCCTGGAGGAGTCACCTTGAGAATGGGGCTCAGGAAGGGGTCCTTCTTGTGGCGGCAGACTTTGTTGATGACGAGGAAGGCCAGCACCCGCACCGTCTCCTCCCCCGTGCTCCAGAGCACGACCATCCTCTGTGAGAGAGAGAGAAGGGGCACCTCCAGCCAAGGCCCTGGGGGCTGCATTTGCCTCTTGGCAGAGCTGACACCATGGGAAGGTCGAGCGGGGTACTAGCTCGGGGACATGGGAAGGAGGGGCTCCCCAGCCTCCTCCCGCCCTGTGCGGTCCCTGCTAATCATTCCAGGCTAAAACCAAATTCTCCAGCCATGGAAATCCCTGTGTCTGCCTCCCCTCCTTCATAGCAACCATTCTAATTAACAACAATGCTCAGAGCTGGCACAAAGCTTCTAATGGCTGAAGGCCTACCTGGAGCTTTCCATACGTGCTCCCTGCTAGACGTCCACGGTGAGAAAGAGGAAACCCCCCCAACACACGCACACGCATGCACACACACATGACACATACATGTGCAGGCAGTCTCCCTGGGGGCCAGGCCTGCCTCCCAGAGGACCAAAGTTCTGCAGAGGATTCTCTAAGTGTCTCCCACATCCCCATTCCCCCTCACCCCAGACTCCAGTCCAAAAGGGGCTGACCTAGATGGGAGGGAGCTCCTCCCTCCTCTCCGATCTGCACCAAAGCCGCTGCTGGGGTCCCTGAGGTCCCATGAGGAGTTAGCCCCCTGCACCCAGACTCCACCTCCCTCTCCCGCCTGCCCGCCCACCCCAGGGCACCTCTATTTCCCCATCGCTCTCTGTTGCCAGCCTGACTCAGCCCCTATAAAATATTCCTCCCCAAACCCCCTGAGAGTCCTGCTCTAATGCACCAGCTGTCAACACACCCAGAGCAATCACGTCCGTCCGTCCGGCACGAGGCGGGGACGGTGGGATGGCGGGAGATGGGAGGCCTGGGTCATGCATTATGGATGGGGCATGGGAACAGGAGGGCAGAGCAGCTGCCCCAGGAGCTCCCCAGGGAGCCAGGGCCTGACAGGAATGACCTGCACCTCCCCCAGCCCACAGCAGCCCCCACCATCCCAAGCATCTTTCAGCACAGCTTGAGGAGGATGCATACGTGATGAACTAGCACAGTTTCTCTCCTGAATCATTCCGGGCCGGCCTCAGGCAGTGACTAAATGCTGCCTATCGGGAAGGGGGTGCCCTCAGCTGGCCAGAAGGAAGCCCCTCTAATGAGGGGCACTGGCTGGTAGGCTGCAGGCGGACACTGTCCTTAGCCACCCCCCCCAGAACACAGTCCAGGGAAGGCATCCGCCCAGGCCCTCAGATCTCACCTTGAGCAGCACCCGGCACTGCTTGGGGAAGGTCAGATAATAAGGGATGATGGTATTGATGTGCTGAAGGACAGCAGTGGCCACTGACGCCTCAGTCAGGCAGGACACCAGCTACAAGTGGAGAAAAGGAGGAATCAGCACAGAGCTGAATGGCTGTTCCTTCCCTAAAAGCAGGCGAGGCGGAAGCCTCCTCTGGGACAGCCCTTCCAAGCTCCCTCCGGCCCAAACAAGAGGGAAGCAGACCTACAACCCTCTGCCCCTCACTGGTACCTGGATGACGGAGTTGAGGTAGGACTTGACATCGAGACGCAGTTTTGTCCAGAGAGGGCTGCTGGACGGCTGCACCAGCCTGGAAGAGAGAGGGGCCTGAGTGCAGGGCCTGAGGACGGCCTGCGCCCGCTGAGAGGCTCAGGATCTCGGACCTCACCCAAGCCGATTTCCTGGGGGTCTCCTTCCCTCCCAGGCTAGTGCCTGCCCCTGCTCCCTCCACCCCATGACTGCTTTGGCTACGATTCTTATTCATAGAAGACACGTGTGTGTGCACATTTAGACATCTTGTGTGCACATGTGTGTATTGCATACATGTCTACATATACAGGACAAACACGTGTAAATCACATACATGTGTGGTATTACCTTCCCCATTAGAACATAAGCTCCCAGGGAGCAGGGATTATTTAGTTTTTGTCTCTGTTACCACAAAGTATCAGCCAGGCCACGCTACAGTTGCTTAATAAATGCCTGCTGAACATGTCCTCAGCTCTCAGCAGTGTCTGACATACCACAGGTGCTTAATAAATGCTGGCTGAACATCAGCTCTCAGCAGTGACTGACATAGCATAGGTGCTTAATAAATGCTTTCTCCTTGGGCTTTATTTTTCTATCTTTTACAAAAGAGGCATGCTTGGCTGGATGCCATCTGGGTTCCCCCCTTCCTGTTCTCCATGGCTGACCCTGGGAGAGGGGAAGGGGGCTCTCCTGCCCCAGGTTTGAGTCTCAGTTTCCTCATCTGTACAATGGAGATAAGAATTGGGCTTCCCACATCACAGGTAGGGATGGCTTTGTGAACCTCAAGCCCTGAGACCTCAGTATTCATCTCATCTCCATGTTACTGTCATACTGGGAACCTTGAACACGTCTACACCGAATGGCCTCAAGGGCTTTGTTTGGCTTTGTTTTTGGTGGGGTGGGGAGGGGAGAGCACAAGGGAAGTCGGGCAGAGAGAAAACAGATTTTTGTTCTTTGAAAAGATAAGCCAGATGTTGTACTAGAAATGTTGGCTCTAGCCATAAAAAGACAAGAAATGGAAGGAAGCGGAATAGGCAATGAGGAGACAAAGAGATCACTCTTTGTACATGATATCACGGTATACTGAGAGAACCCTGGAGAATCAACTAAAAAACTACATGAAGTAATTAACAACTTCAGCAAAGTTGCAGGATACAAAATAAACCCCCATAAATCATCAGCATTTCTATATATTACCAACAAAGCCCAGCAGCAAGAGATAGAAAGAAATTCCATTTAAAATAACTGTGGACAATATAGAAGACGTGGGAGTCTCCCAGCCAAGACAAATCTAGGAACTATATAAACACAATTACAAAAACACTTTTCACACAAATAAAGCCAGATCTAAACAACTGGAAAAATATTAATTGCTCATGGATAGGCCAAGCCAATAGAATAAAAATGACATTTCTGCCTAAATTTATTTATTTAGCGCCATACCAATCAAACTACCAAAAAATTATTTTCTAGGGCTAGAAAAAAAATAACAAAACTCATCTGAAAGAACAAAAGGTTAAGACTATCAAGGGAATCATTGAAAAAAAAAGTGAAGGAAGGGGGCCCACTAGTACCAGATCTCAAAGTGCATTAATAAAGTGGTAATCATGAAAACAATTTGGTACTAGCTAAGAAATGGAGGGGTGGATCAGTGGAACATATGGGTAGACAAGACACAGTAGTCAATGACCATAGTAATCTAGTATTTGATAAACCCAAAGATCCAAGCTTTTCAGACAAAAGCTCACTTTTGACAAAAGCAGCTGGGAAAACTGGAAAGCAGTTTGGCAGAAACTAGGCATAGACCAACATCTCACATCACATTCCAGATAAGGTCAAAAGGGATACATGATTTAGACATAAAGGGTTGATATCATAAGTAAATTAGGAGAGCACAGAATAGTTTGCCTGGCAGTGTGTGAATAAGGGAAGAATTTAGGACCAAAAAAGAGATACGGAACATTGAGGGATATAAAATGGATAATTTTGGATAAATCAAATCAAAAAGGTTTTGCACAAACAAAACCAATGCATCCAAGATTAGAAGAGAAGCAGGAAACTGGGAAAGAATTTTTACAAATAGTGTCTCTGATAAGGGCCTCATTTCTCAAACATATAGAGAACTAAGTCAAATTTATAATACAAGTCATCCTCAATTAATAAATGGACAAAGAATATGAAGAGGCAGTTCTCAGATGAAGAAATTAATGCTATCTAGTCATATGAAAAAATGCTCTAAATCACTATTGATTAGAGAAATGCAAATCAAAACAACTCTGAGGTACCACATCACACCTACCAGATTGGCCAACATGACAAAACAGAAAAAAATAAATGTTGGAGAAGGTGTGGGAAAACTGGAACACTAATGAATTGTTGGTGGAGTTGTGAAATGATCCAACCATTTTGGAGAACAATTTAGAACTATCCCCAAAGGGCTATAAAAATGTGCATACCCTTTGACCCAGCAATAGCACTTCTAGGGCTGTATCCCAAAGAGATCAGAAAAATGGGAAAAGGACCCACATGTACAAAAATATTTATAGTAGCTCTTTTTGTGGTGGCAAAGAACTGGAAATTGAGGGGATGCCCATCAATTGGGGAATGGCTGAATAAGTTGTGGTATATGAATACAATGAAATACTATTGTGCTATAAGAAATGATGAGCAGGCAGACTTCAGAAAAACCTGGAAAGACTTGTATGGACTGATGCTGAGTGAAGTGAGCAGAAGCCAGGAGAACATTGTACACAGTAATAGCCACGTTGTGTGATGATTAACTTTGATAGACTTAGCCCCTCTCAGCAATACAAGGATCTAAAACATCTCCAAAGGCCTCATGATGGAAAATGCTATTCACATCCAGAGAAAGAACTATGGAGTTTGAATGCAGATCGAAGTATACTATTTGCTCTTTTTTATTTTTCTAATCTTCTGTTTTGTTTTGTTTCTTTTTTCTTGTGGTTCCTCCTATTGGTTCTAATTCTTCTTTACAACATGACTAATGTGAAAATATTTAATAGGAATGTATATGTAGAGCCCATATCAGATTGCGTGGCGTCTTGGGGAGGGAGGTAGAGAAAACAGGACAAGAGCAGTGCTGTGGCCAGTGGTCTTCACAGCCTGATGTCCACTGGCTGGCTCCCAGTCTGGCCTGGAGCCTCAGAGCCTGGATCCTTCCCGGGCTCCCATCCCGAGGGAGGGGGCCAAGGCCCAGCTAAGCCAGCCGGTCTCCCAAGCGCTCCTCAAACCCCTCCCTGCACTCTCAGTACCACTCTCAGGGCTCCTGCTCTTCTCTAGCCTGGACTCGTCCACGTTTCTACACCCTACCTTCAGGTGGAATGGACTCAGTGTTCACGACCCTCCGGCCCGCCCTTCCCCGGACTAGGCCCCAAAAGCAAATGCCTGAAACCCAAGGAGGCCCACGTCCCTCCTCCTTTTGACGCTCAGAGCCCAGGCTGTAGGCCTAAGTGCCCACGTTCCAGACAAACGCGGTCTGGTTTCCTAAACCGCCCAGTCTTTGCCTGCGACGTGCCCTGCCCCTACCTCTGCCTCCGGGGGTGCCACCCCTTAGGGAGGCCGTTCAAGATCGCACGAGTGATCACACTCCTCCGTGAGAATGTCAGCTCCCTGAGGGCAGGCCTTTGTATCCCTAGCACTGGGCACATTTCCTGGCACACATGAGGTGTCTAATACACGCTTGTTAGACTGAATTGGATCCAGTCTCATCTTTCCTAAACTGTGGTGCCCAGACCTGGACACGACAGTCGGGGTGTCTGACCGGGGGGGGGGGGGATGCCTGTCTTCATGCAGCCACCCCCTCCCCACGCCGCCTCGCTGACCCGGCTGTCCCAGACTCCTCTTTCCTAGGCAGGGCTTCCATCTCACCAGGCCTCCCCTCCGGAGGGCATGGACAAAGCTGTGAGACTTCCTTGATCCCCAGGGGCACCTCCGTTTGCCCGGATGCCGGGCAGCTCTGTCCCCCAGCATGGGGCGCGGCTCTCCCCCCAACTTCGAGCAGGAAGCCGTCGGTGCCTAAATCCATTAACTAAGCAGGATAGAAAGCAGCGTCCCCATGGGACCCATCCCAGGCCCCCAGACGGAGGGCTTGCCCCTCTCCAGGCTGAGTCCCCTCTGCCCAAGCGAAGACTCCGGAAGGAGGAGATGAGGAGCTTTTACACTCCTCATCTCCGACGCCTGGGCCCTAGCCCTGGGAACCACTCCTGGGGATGGAAGATTCAGACGGGAAAGGGACTCTGGAGACTGGGGCCAACTCCCTCCGACGCTCAGGGAGGCCACGACTTGCTCAAGGTCACACAGTAGTAAGCATCAGAGGCAGGATTTGAACCCAGGCTCCCTGATTCTGTCACTCAGCCAACTGACAAACTTCTTAAATGATCACCAGGCTCCAGGCTCTGTGCTGGATGGGCAAAGAAAGTCAGAAGCAGCCCCGTCCTCAGGGGGCTCACATTCCACAGAGCAGGCCACATGAGACATGAGCTAGCAGTGCCACGGTCCCCCCACATCCCTACCTCCGGGCCTCCTCCTTACAGAGGATTCTCAGGATCAGGGCAGCTCCCAAAGAAGGTGAAGCGTGGACTAAATCCCAAGAGCTGGAAGAATGCTGAGAGGCTGAGCCCAGCAGAGGGAGGAGAACACTGGAACCCTTCCAATGACGGCAAGCTCACTACCTCAGCCTGGTACCCGGGTGGGCTGGAAGGCTCTCTGAAGGACTTCCCTGGCCCACAGTCACCCTTCTCAGACTTGAGAGCCCGGGCCAATTAAACTCAATGAGCACTGACTAAGTGCCTATTATAAATGTCACAGTGAAGAGAAAGCCAGAAAGCCCTGGATTCAAATCCTGCCTCGGACACAGCCTGGCTGTGTGACCCTGGGCAAGTCCCACCACCAAAGCCTCCAAGTGGCAGAGAAGGTACCAATCTGCACTTGTGGAGGGAGTTTCCTCACCTGGGAGGCCCAGTCCCTAGCTCTGTCCTCTGTCCTCTCTGTGCAGCCCATACTGGGCTCCGAGAACCCCAGACCAAAGCCCAGGCCCTACCC